CAGTAGGTCTACAGCTAAGGCCATGTCGTGATCATTATGGGGAGAAAAAAAAACGATGGGTTGCAGATTTTTTCAAAACCCATAACCATTGTACGAAACATTACCCCACGGTTATACAAAGCATAACTCACCAGTGTAACATTTTTCAAAATTTTCAATTTTTTTTGATGACTCCAATACAAGATGAATGCAGTAATCAAGAGTTGTCAGGGTTCTGCAAAACCTCCAGTTTCATAAGAGCAACACAGCAGTCGAGTCATTTGTTTCGTTGATTAATTCATCTGCACGTATGTCGACCACATGTTTTAACGTTTAGCTAAATAACTTGCCCATATGGTTTATACTATTGTAGAAAGTCAATTCTGTAAATTTGTGGTAAATGTCAGTCTAAAAATATCTGAAGATGAATCACAGCTAATGTCTTCCACAGCCACTTGAAGAATCACCTGTCCCGTCATGCTCACAATTACACCACAACACTGGCCTGTCAGGGCTAGAGAATTATTTTTGAATGATGAAAATGCTTTTCGGGCAGAACAGGTTTTCTGAGATGAAACCTTTATTTCAGTAGAACCAATGCTTCCAAATGCTCATCCTCACCAGGTTTTAACAACTCAAAAATTCCTGAAGTTTGGCGTTTTAGTATAAAAATGATTTTTTAAAAAACTTTTTTTTGCTTATTTGAAGCCAAAAGTCCTATAATTCTCCCAGCATTAATCATCCTCTTGTTAAGTGATACACTACACCCGAATTTGGTATCATGAGCGGTCCCCCAACCCCCTCAGGCATAAGAAAGGCAGAATTGCAAACCGGGAGCTGATCTTTGGACCGTGTCTTCATAACTGCGCCTCCTGTCAGTAGCCCGTTTTCGCTCCGTAACCAGTATGAATGGTGTTTGCCATGTAAAGAAAAGAACAAATTTATGGAAAAAAGATTTTAGGGTTTTTTTGGGGCAGATGTTTCGGGAGAGCTTATCGATATCGTGGGTTACACTTACATAGGAAGTGCGGCTGGTTTTAGTTTGGGCTACTCTGAAGTTTCTTCCTGAGAGGTCATGCCGTCTGATCGAGCTTTATTGAGGCTCTCTCCTGTTTTTTCGCCTTTTCCGTAGCCATTAATTTTTATCTTGTAACTTTGCATACTTTTAAATTACTGGAACTACAATTACTTTATTGAAGTGGATGTACTTCTCGAAACATGCCCTATCGTTTTTTATTAGGTTCATTACACCATTTGCACTCTGAGAACTCAATCACTTACTTTTTTTCTGATACTTCTTTGGTCTCGGCCATTCGATAGGCACTACAGTAAATGATAATTAGCTGACATTATCGTTGATGGGCCAATGTGGTCCAAGTCGGCTGGCTGCCGCCCGCAGTCGCCGTTTGTCCTCCGTCGTCGTCGGCTGTGAGCTGTGATCGTGATGGTGGCGGCTGCAGAAAGTGGGAGGGAGGTGGCATCACACGGGTCATTCGCCACTCGGTCCGGGTGAAGACGCACATTTACCCCCAGTCCGCTTATTCCCGAAATCTCTCATACACATCCATCCAAAAAGAAAAACTAGCAAAAATAACTTTGAGGGATAGCCGTATGTTACCGCCCCACTCTCTCTGCGACTACTTTTTTTTCGGGCAAGAAATTGGACTTTGGAATCGATCCCGGGAATCAGCTCCTACTCCTTCCCAATTCACTGGTCTGACTTTATTTGCCGTTCTTGTGCACTCCACTTCCTGGAATTGTCCTTATTGTCTATTTTGTTTGCTTTAAATTGGAAAATCTCGTTTCTTTTTCTTACATACATGGTGTCGTCCTGATTTTTCGAAGTTTCAAACTTGTTTCTGTTCTGGAAATCGCTATAAACCTATGTTGTTTATGTTGTTTATGTCAGAACTTTACATCATTCCGATGTACACATTATATGAAGCATTTCCCCGTGCTTTGTCCGTGCACATTCATATCGCCGAGAGTAATGTGAGAGCTATTACAATCCAATATTCCAATATATGCGGTGTGCACTTTAATTTTACTCTTTATTGAAGCTGTTGGTTGAAGAGCGACATAGGGAAGGTG